AGAAAGAGAAACACTACCAGATGCCACCACAAGAAAATGTTAAGATACTGGTAAGCCACAAGCCACGTGGCAATTTATAGATTAAAAGAAATGGGTTAATTTAAGATGTTAGATCTAGATAACAAGAAGCCTGAGCCATTAGGCCAAATAGTTTAAATAATATAAGCATCTGTGTGTTTATTTGAGTCTGAGTGGCTGCCAGCCCGGGTGGAACTAGAGGTAGCTCCAGCCACACATGACTATAACCTAGTAATACGGTGGCTGTTTTAGAAGGATTATAAACCAGGACAGACTGGACTTTGGAGCAAGACACTGATAAAATATTGACTAATAATTAAAACTTAATTCAATTCATTTATGAACAGGTAGAAATCAGATTCCTATATAGACTGAGGTGTAGCGAATCTTAACAGGTCTTATTAATAAAATCAAACCCAGAGCCAGGTATTGGGGTGAATTCTGGAAGATCAGAGAAGCAGAACAAGCCACAGCCACCTCACCTTGCCTCTGTGTTCTTATCCAAATAGATCTCAGCTGAACTGCTTCCCAAAAGCCTGAAAGTTTAACCAGCCTCTAGTTCCTGGTCCTCAGGCCTTGAATACCTTTATGCCTCTTGCCATTACTTCCTGGGATTAAAGGCATGAGTCACCATGCTTGGCTGTTTCCAGTGTGGCCAAAACTCACAGAGATTCAGGCAGATCTCTGCCTCTGAAATGCTAGGACTAAAGGCGTGTGCTACCACTGCCTAACCTCTTTGTTTAATATTATGGCTGTTCTGTTCTCTGACCCCAGATAAGTTTATTAGAGTGCACAATATTTTGGGGAACACAATACCACCACACTGAGGCTTCAGTAAAGCTGAGACTCCCAAAGCATCAGTAAAGCATCACAGCCAGTTTTTCTACTAATAGGCAGGGCAAAATAAATAGTGAATCTACAAAAAAAATGATCATTCAAATACCAAAGAATGAATCCAGGAGTATTAGGAGTTCAAGGCTGGTTAGGGAAATACAATCAGTTTGAACAGGGCTAGCTTAATGAAAATCTGTCAAGAAATACCAGACAGAGGATGAAAGCTACCAAACTCCATGGGGCTGAAATGGCAAAGGGATAAAACTTTAACAAAAGATTGCCTACACTTAACATTGGATTTAAGCCACATGGAAATAGAGGATTTAGATTTACAACAGGAACAGAAAAGGAAGATAATTAAACTAAGTGGCTCATAGATCATAGAACAGGTAATACAGTAGGAATGAGTATACACATTAGTCAGCCATGAGGTATGATTATGGGTACAATCAATAAAACATGTGTGTTGAACATGGGCAAAGAATAAAAGACCCAGGAGATAGTAACTCTTCACAAGACACACATAGAGTGCACATTCTGTATCATGAGCTCTTAACTTTACCTCCCATGGTGACCTCTACCCAAGAAACACAAGCTCACAGCTGCTCAAGAGGCTCATTAGAAGCTGATATTCTAAGCAGGTGTCCAAGCTTCTGTGTTTTCCCACTGGAGAAAATACTTGTGGTGGCCACAGAAACCTTCTGACCACTGGGATTCCTTACTGGAGCCTCAGGTTTGGCCCTATTAATCACACCATAATCAAAGAACAGTTCTGCAGCATAGTCAAGGTCTACAAAGATCACTTAATCTGGATGCAGACATCTTTTTAGCCACTAGAACCTTACTCTAAATGTTATCACCTGCCCATTTCACTCTGTATGGTACTGTAGGATACAAACAAATTCATTAACTGTGACCTTTTGCAAAGGCAAATACCAGCAATTCTAGTGATTGGGAGGTAGATGAAAAGGAGCAGAGCTAGCCTGTATAAAATGATACTTCATATAAAAAAACCAAAATTAATAATAATCATGTTAATCTGTATATTTTGAACAAATTTATACATCTTATAAGGTCTTTTGTCCTCTGGCCAACTCTGTGATGATCTGGATACATCTGTGACAGTCCAGCCACCTTTTTGACAGCCTGCTTGAAAGTGTCTTTGGAGGAGAGAGAGGAAGTTATTTTCGTGCATATTTGGAAACTAGCTGTCCACACTGGCAGTGCCACGTTTAAATAGAAGTGACCTGCCATGTTCTCAGGCACTGAATGAAAGGTTCCTGAGAAAGTCACCACTGTTGATGCCTCAGATAGTTTCTGCAGAAACTGGAGAAGAAAATCACTGAACACCAAAAAGAAAATGCCATCATGAACAAAATCCAGCAGAAACAGTACATTAAGCCCACAAAAGTATAGACAATAGGATTACCAACTAACACACTTAAAATAAGCGTGGTTACTATCTTTAAAGGGATGCAAGACAGCCACACCTGCCTGTAGTCTCTGCACTTGAGAGATGGAGACACAAGGATCAAGAGTTCAAAACCAGCCTGGGGATATAAATCCCTGTTTCAAAACAACAACAACAATAAAAATTAAATTCATTTAAAATGATGTAAAAGGCAACTTAAAATGTAACTAGCCAACAAAGTTATTAAAGGACAAACACAGAATTATTTGGGGATGTTTAAAAATTTGTATTTCTAAAAAAATCAATAATCAGGAAAAATAACAAATATGTGATATGAAGGCAGAGAGGAGGTTCTTAGGATTAAAGGATAAAATTGGATGCATACTGGAAAATAATAGACAGGAGAGAATAGAGGAAGGATCAACCAAAACTAATGATGTATAAAAGGCCTATGGATACCCACTAGTTGAACAACACAAAACAGACTCCTTTTTTCTTTCACAGTTTGGGGACCTTCGTGTGTGTGTGTGTGTGTGTGTGTGTGTGTGTGTGTGTGTGTGTGTGTGTGTGTTAGACAATTTTTGTATTATTGGTTGATTTTTTTTTAAGTTTGATTTTATTTTCTTTTTGTTTTGGGGAGAGAAAGAAATAATATGAAATTGAGTGAGTAGGGAAGGAGGTGAGGAGGAACTGGGTATTAAGGAGGAATGAAAACCTGATCAAAATATATTTTATGGAAAATATAATTTAAAAATATCAAAATATAATTTAAAAAGAGTTAGATGCGCAGAAGATATGAGTTATTAAATAAAAAAATCAAAGTGCAAGGCATGAGATACTTCCAAAAGAATTACTGGTCAGGGAAACCACAGAGGTCTACAAATAACCAGGCTGTTGCTGTACCCTTGGTTTTCCACCATAACTACATGGAAACACCCTATTTCTGAAGACAACACACACTTGGTGTCAGGACATAGAGAAATCAATCTCAAACCAATCAGGAAACTTGTGCTAGCTTTCTTTGCAGGATGCTAGGGGAGTGTCTTAGTGTGCTAGGGTTTTTATTGCTATGAAGAGACACCATGACCTCTGTAACTCTTATAAAGAAAACATCTAATTGAGCTGTCTTCCTTGCAGTTTCAGAGCTTCAGTCCATTGTCATCATGGTAGGGAGCATGGCAGTGTGCAGGCAGACTAGGCACTGTCTAACTCTTGATATGTAGGCTACAGGAAGTCGACTGACACACTCAGCAGTATCAAAGCCATAGGAAAACTCAAAGCCCACTCCCACAGTGACACACTTCCTCCAATAAGACTGCACCTACTCCAACAAAGACACAACTACTAATAGTGCAACTCCCTATGAGATTATGTGGGCCAATTACATTCACACTTCCAAAGGGAGAAAAGATTTGAGTGGTCTATTCCAGCACTGGACCCTGCATGCCACAATACTGACCTGCTAGGTAAGATGTGCCCAGTGGAACAACCCTTAGATGATAACTAATTGCTTTTTTTATCGGAGTTGAAGTATGTTGTGTTTGATATTGTAACCCAAATCAAAAGCCCATGATTGCCGAAGTCATGGGCCCTTGTATGGAACCTGCTACTATCATTTTGCTAAGTGGTCATGTGATCAAATTTCATTCTTAATATTTATGTTTATGGCCTGGTCCTGGGCTGCTCTCAACTTCCATGAGAGAAGCTTTTTACAGTGGGAAGGTGGTCATTGCAGAGAAGCAGAACTGGTCAAACTGGATGTGCTCAGCCATAAAGGGGTCATCTTCTTAAACCTCTTTCCCCAAAAACCACCACCACTCAGGAAATGGGAAGGAAGAGGAAACAGGATGTAAGAATCTGATAAGGAAAAAAGCACTGTGAAAAGCAACTTTCTGGACATGACAAAATTCCTGCATAGATGAAGAGGTATTTACTACCACTCAAGGAATCACTATTGTTAGGTGACAGTTCCTGGAAAAGGGAAATTAATTTTTATTGGGGGGGTGGCCACTGGCAGATATCCTTGCTTCAGTGGATGCCCTACCATGCACCGAGGGACAGCATTAATTAAAAAAACGTAAGTTAAAGAGGCACATGTTAGGACAGAAGCAGAGTAAACTTGGGGGGCTAGGGAAGGATATGAGCATATTTTATTTTATGTATATGAGATATATTCAGGAAAAAAAATTCTTAATAAAGATAGTCAATGAATAGTTTTCTACCAGATAACATAACACTTGGAGTCTACGATATGACATCTTGAAATGGAAGGCAGATATATATATATACACATATATATGTGTGTATATATATACATATATATGTATATGTATGTATATGTATGCAAAAATGTTCTTATATTTATAAATAACAAGCAATTTATATAAGCTAACTACAGAAACAAATGAAGTGAATGTTTCAGATATTTATACTCATAGTATCTATCAGGATGAATCTAGTCCCTTCAAGTGATCTTAAGTTGTTGATTTCCTTGTGTTCTCTGCATCTTAGAACACACAATCCTTAGCTGTGTTCATTACTGCATCACTAGCAGTCAGCTTCTAGACTGTTCTTCTTCCCTGTCTGATGCTTGCTCAAACACTGCCTTATGTATCTTATGCTTAGCTGTGAGCTCCACTGACAAAGAGAAAAGCATTGTGAAATGAGAGAAAAGCTTTTGCACACCACCATCACAACTGTGCACCAGTGTTAGAGTGTGAAGTTTCAGAAAACTCACTGTTTAAATGGGCCATCACCAATCCATAGCCATTTCCCTTTGGTTTCATCATATTTTAATCCAATCCAGTAATTGTTTGTATTCATTTGGAGCTGAAGGAACTTCTGTAAGGAAAAAAAAAAACTCATCTGATTATAAAGTTTCCCTCTGTTTGGTGAGAAAACAATAAGATAACAGGTCCACATGAGAAAAGGAAGAAACAAAGTGCTAGAGAGGCCCACAGTAATCCACAAAGATACCCCCACAAAGGACTGCTGGCAATGGTCGAGAGACAGCCGGAACTGACCTGCTCTGGTGACGGGATGGCCAAACACCCTAATAGTCATGCTAGAAACCCCATCCAACGACTGAGGGATCTGGATGCAGAGATCCATGGCTACGCCCCGGGTGGAGCTCCGGGAGTCTAATTAGTGAGAAAGAGGAGTGCTGTGGGATGTTCTGTATGTCCTGTGGGAGCCTGTTCTTGGGTTCCTTGTGGCTTTACCCAGCCTGACTGTGGGCAAGGCAGGAAAACTTAAGCTACAGAGGAGGGTTTATATGAGCGAGAATTGTTGAAACCAAGGTTTGATAAAGCACAGGGACAAATAGCCAAAGAATGGAAACACATGAACTATGAACCAAAGGCTGAGGGGCCCCCAACTGGATCAGGTCCTCTGAATAGGTGAGACAGTTGATTGGCTTGATCTGTTTGGGAGGCATCTAGGTAGTGGTACTGGGTCCTGTGCTCATTGCATGAGTTGGCTGTTTGAAACCTGGGACTTATGCAGGGACACTTGGCTCAATCTGGGAGGAGGGGACTGGGCCTGCCTGGACTGAGTCTATCAGGTTGATCTCAGTCCTCAGGGGAGGCCTTGCACTGGAGGAGGTGGAAATGGGAGGTGAGCTGGGGGGAAGGGGAGGAGGGCAGGAGGGGGGAGAACAAGGGAATCCGTGGCTGATATGTAGAACTGAATGGTATTGTAAAATAAAATAAAAAGGGGGTGGGAAAGAACGTTAAAAAAAAAAAGATAACAGGTCCCAGCTATTCTTATGTCAGTTCTCTGCTATCCCTTCCTTCAGCACCTCAGTCCCTCCAAGTTCATTTTTAAAGTGATTTCCCTCTGGTAGCTCAATTGTGTCAAAACTGATGTCAGCTACAGAAGTTATTTAAAATAAAAATTTCAGGTGTCTAGAGATACTGATTTATGAAATGATTTATGTCTTTAGACCAAGTCCCACTATATAACCAAGGCTAGTTCTGAACTCACAATACTACTGCTTGTGACTACTAAAAGCCAGTACACTGCATACATGTTTCATTAAAAAATTTCTGACACTCTATGAAATTATTCAAATGTGTATTCCCAAAGACTACAGAGGCATGTGGGTAGTGTTCATATGGTAAGTAATGCTTGTCTTCATGGCAAATTCACTAAGATAAAAAATCGTGTGTGAAAAGTTGTGCATGAACCTCCATGCTCCAGAGAGGAAGCAGTTTTGAAGTTCAGACCTAGGAGTGACAGAAATTAAGGAGGAAAGGGACAGATATTTGGAAAAATTTAGCATCTGACATGTGATATGAAAATGGCATGATATCTACATAAGTTTTTTAATATATCTTAAAATATGGGTTTAAATTTAATTATGATTAGTATAACAAATGACAATTTACATAATTATTTAGCATTAAAAATTATTTTGTTGTATTTTTTATACATGTATGAAATTGGTGTACAAATTTTGTACCATGTTTTAAAGGACAAAGATCTCAAGCTTATCCTGCAAGCATTTTCTAGAGAAATATCTTTTTCATATTAGAAGAGATTTTGTTAGTAATAATTTAAATAGAAAATGTCTGTATCTTGGTACCTTTTTTCTTTTAATTACTCATTTCTAAAAACAGATATATTTTTCCAAAAAAACATAAAAATAGTATGAAGTAACGATTGCTGACAGTTTCACTGAAAAGTATCATGGAGCTGATTGGTAAAACTATTGAATTCTACGGATCTCATATAATTTCCATTTTGCAAATTGGCCCAGAGGTCGGTTACTTTCTCTATTGACCTCCAATTACTCATCTCAGGCAATCTCACTGATGAGTTCCAAAGAGAAAGCCCTAGACAGTGGCCTCTCTGGATGGAGTTGGCACTCTATGGAGATACATAACTGTCAGTCACAGGATGTGCTGTACCAAAGGTTTAAACTTATTACAGGAAAACATGTTTCTCTGAGAGATTCTCTTGTAGACTCCTGAGAAAGGGAGAAGCCTGCGAAGACATGACAATCTCTTTAGTAACCAGTGTGCTCATAACAGACCCTGTGTCCTGACACTAAGCCAGGAGCAGGAAGGAGTAGCTTAGGATACTCTTACTGCAGTTTTTGCTCACATTACAGGCAAACCATGTACAACACTTACGGGTCTCTCTTTCAATAAACCTGCCTAGGCTCAGCATCTCACTATCTAAGGGTTAGAGACAGCGACTAAGAGAAGAAATGGGCATGTTAAGAGTCTACAGTACCAGTTCATTTTCATCATCTATCTTCAAAAGGGATAAGCTGTGGTCACAGCAGGTCTGTTTACAACCAATCCAGATTTTTTTGTTTATGATGAAATAATAACATTTTATGCCATAGCAGAACCAGTGTCCTTCAACACTTGTGCCTACAATAGAAAAGGGAATGATGAACATTCTTATTTTCTAATAGTCTCTTTTCAGAGCACTGTTTTAATTAAACATCAATAACTAAGTAAAATTTCAGAGCTCTAAGAAATTTAAACTCCAGAATGTTAAGAGATTACTTTACACCTATGCTCTATGCAGTGTTGTTTATAACAGTACAAATATATATATATATATATAGCTGATGTGTCCATTGTGGATAGATCAGTAGAAAAAAAAACATAGCACATGCACACAAAGGAATACTATTCATCCTTTAAAGGGAAGTAAATTGCCTGGTCATGATAGTTTATACCTATAACCTGAGTACTACACACAGTGAGACAGGAGGTTCACCACCAGTTTGAGGCCAGCCTAGGCTAAGTAGTGACTTCCATGCTAGCCTTGGCTATAAAATAGACTCTAAGACAGTCTGGGCTACAGAATGAAACCATGTCTCATACCTCAACACCTTGAAAGAGAGATGCGCAACTAAGTGATGATCATGGATAACTCGAGGATGGAGCAAGGTTAAAGTCAGGCCCAGGACCACACTTTATGGCTCAACTCAGATAAGGGTTTTAACACAGCTCAACTCTAAGAAGCAGAGGCTTGTGAGATACTAGAGCTGGAGTATGGGGAACAAACACTTGCTGCACAGAGGCAGTTACAAAGGTGATGGAATTCTAGACCTGCGGTAATGCACTGTGCCCCCAGTTCATCCTCACACATTGTGCACATAAGGTTGTACTGTGGTCTGTGTTAGATGCGCTCACCTTAAAAGAAATAAGAGACACATGAGGGAGCTTTTAAAGGTGTTGGTCTACTCTCCTAATTATGTTGATGCCTTCAGTGATATGCCCACATACCCAAACATGTCAAGTTGAATACATTAAAATGTATGCAGTTTGTATAGCAATAACACCTCCATATGATTATTTTGTTTAGGGAGGGGCTGGGGATGGCCATGCTCTATTAACAAACTGTATCTCCAACCTTTGTTTTCCTGTAAAGAGGTATCATTGTGTATTTCAGGCTGGCCTGGAATTTGCTAAGCTGTCCAGATTGTCATCAAATTTATAATCCTCCTATCTCAGACTCCTAAGGACAGGTACTACAGCAATAAGCTACAATTTACAGATGATAAAGTTATTTTAAAAAATGACACAAAATATTTTTCATGAGTCTGAAATATTTTTAAAAAATTTGGCACTTTTGTCTATCATTTTATAATGTAGCAGTTTGAAAGATATTATTATTCCTTGCATAATAATGATTTTTAACCTCTATCATGGTGTAGTGAGATCATATGCAAAAGCTCTGCATAAATTCAGAAAAATATTTATTGATGAAGGATAAACTGTTGCAATTAAAGTTAACCAGTCACAATACAAGGTAAGAAAGGCTCCTTGTAAATCTTGATATTTTCATCTTTCTGGCCTCATTCACTGTGTCACTGACAGTTACACAAGTGTGGACACCATTTTGAAGCTGCAAAATGTGCTGCAGGGAGCTTCACCATGGTCACAAACAGGCCAACTCTCTCATACCAAGGCAGAATGAAAAAACAGATACAGACAATTATTTTAATGACTGAATACATATAAGTGCTCTAAGTCCATTTCAGCCTAAGAATTTGTTGAATGCAATCTTACTGGAAACTTCCATGTTCTGTCAGCAACAGAGTTGGAGATTCAAATTTGCCTACAGACCAAATGAACCTGAATTGTCAGTTGTGCTGACTTCCAATTACATCCCCTTAGAGCAATAAAGCCAAAAGAGCCACTGAGTTATAGAAGCTATAAGACTCTCCGAATTCAAACAGGGATATTTGGAGTTCCAGGCCCTTTCATGAGATAAGGATCCCTAAGCCATTAACCCACAGATAACCTGCATTTTAAGCTGCTAATTGGACTTCAAATTTTCTGGGAAGGAAACATTAGAGATTAAAGCAATTCTTTATTCAAGATCCTCTCCTTACCTCTGTGCTGTTTGTAATCTAAAACAACTTTAGTTTCCTGGTAGCATCTGTTCAGTGTTCTGTTGAGGGAGGACAGATGGTCTTTGAGGGCATCACACTCTATAGATTTATTTTGAAACATTTCTTTCTTTAAGTAGCTGTCATTTTGCATGGTGCTCTTCTCTTGATGAAGATTATTCAGAGATCTCTGCAATTCATTTTTTTCTTGACTATACTGAAAAACTAAAATTACTAGCAGTTATCACACCAAAAATGCTTATAAGGATTAAATACTGAAATTTAAGATAACAGAGAAAGCCCATATGGACAATCAACACATATTATACTGGAACTGGTGCTTTGACATTTAGAAAGTAACACCTCAATTAACTCACGATAGGAATGGAAACACAAATTTTTCTCTATCAGGGTAACATTAATGTAAAGCAAATAATACAGCTGAATAAAATTGTGGTGGATGTACCACAACTTCCAATGATTTAGTTTTTAATAGCAAAAAGCTTTCAAATAAATAACTAGTAAAATATTCAGTGAATACTTAACACAGCATGAAAACTGTAAACTAAGAAACATTGAGAAATGGTACAATTCTCATTGGACTGGAGGGAAAGCAAAATATCCAGATATGTAGCCATGTCTTAGCAGAGCTTCGGAGTGATTTTCTCTAAACATGTGAAGGAATTCAATAAAGCTCAAGCTTTAATGTCTCTGTACAGATGAAGTCTTTTCACTTAACCGTGCCCTTAATATATATGGAGGAAAATAAAAAGAATACCATAATTTCTTTTGCACAGCTGTTTCTCACAGAATGTTTATGTGCTATTTACAATCACCTAAACTCAGAAAGTAGATTACCATCAAGTCCTCAAAAAGAACATTACCAAGAATGATAAATAAATAAATAAGGAAACTCCCAACAGCCCCGGAGTTAATAGACTAGGTATGTATGAGAACAAGACACTACAGTTAGTCAGATCAAAAACAAAACAAAACAAAACACACAAACAAAAAACACAATCCAGAGCAATCTGACACATCCCCTGATTATAGGCAGAACAATGGACAGAGAGTGTTAACTGCATAATAAGTGACTGAAGATATTACTTAGGCAGAAAGGCAAAGAAGATGTATACCAGTTACTCACTGTTTGTCACCAACACTGCAACTGTCACCAGCAGAATGGAGCAAAGGACTCCCAGGGGTATTGCAATGAGGTGCCATGGAACTAAACACTCTTAATCAAAACAAACAAAAAGCAAAGCAAGAAAATGAACACCATGAAAAGAGCAAGTCCCAATACTAGTTATAATTTTCTATAGCATGGAAATGAGGGGATATTGGTTTCAAAGTTTTACAGAAGTCCATCATACAAGCTGACTGAACATGTGCTTACAAAATTTGTAGATTTCTACATAAAATGCACCCAATATAGGAATCCTACATGTGTGAAGTTTCACAGGATTTCAAACTTCTTTTAACTTTGGTCTTATATTATCAATCCTCCTTCTTCAGCCTAGAATAGCTAGATAATAGGCACGTGTCCCTCCCCCCAGTTCTACAGGATCAAAAGTGCATCCTTCAGAAAGCATTGTAGGTACAGGCATAGTCTAGGTAGATGATCCCATACTGGAATGTGCAATCTACCAAGGGAGCATAACTGAGGATGAGGAGGAAGGGAAGAGGAATGGATGTTTTTTGTTTTTTGTTTTTTGTTTTTTTTTTTTTTTTTTTTT